TGTCTGTCAGGCGTAGATAGTTGGGATTTTCTTTTTTCTATGTTGTTTTTAAAGTTAGAGAGCTGGGATTTTCTATGGATTCCATTTTTGGGAAAATAATAAGAAATTCAAAATTGAATAAGGATCGGCCGACTTATGTATGTATATATATGGTAAAAAGACCAACTTTGGTATTTTTGAAGATAGAAGCTTCGGACGTTTTATACCCTTGCAGAGGGTATTATAATTTTGTCCATCTTCGACCCTATAAAGTATACATATTCTTGATCAGGATCACCTCCTGAGTTGATATGAGCATGTCCGTCTGTCCGTCTGTCTGTCTGTCTGTTTCTACGCGAATTAGTATCTCAGTTTTAAAGCTATCGTCTTGAAACTTTGCACACACCCTTCTTTCCTTTGCACGCAGTATATAAATCGGATAGCTGCCATATAACTGATTGATCGGAAATGGTATAACTTTGGTGTTTTTAGAGTTAGAGAGTTCAAATTTGACACGGGAGCTATTTTTGGCAACACACCAGCCAAGCACTCTACCACTCGGCTATTCCTCATTCGTTGTCGCGCGAAAAATTTCTCAAACTTAACTTGTCGCGCATTGGAACCCGCTCGTTCCAGCGGGTTCCACTGCTAGAACCCGCCATAGAAAATTTTTCTTTGTATCAGATGTCCCATCTATGTACTTTATAATCTTTGCTTAAAGTCTGCTTGTCAAGCGACGTGTATTCAAAATAAAAATATTGTTAGAACAAAATAATTTGTTTGGGGACTCCAATGTCTCCACTAGCCGCAATTTAGTAAATCAAAATCATTTCACTTTAACGCAAATTTCTCCAACTGATAAACTTTTGGAAAATGTTTTGACAAAAATAATCTAATTAGAGTAATACGATAAATTAAACATATGACGCATTCAGATCAGAGGCACAGAGAAAATGTTTAATTCTTTGGCTATACATATACAGCGGGTTCACGCGCATGCTAAGGCATGCGCATATATATATTTTATTTATTTATTAATTGAAAAAATATAAGTTCAGAAAACTTAAACTACTTAAGATCTATGTAAGTCCTTTCATCTTACTAAGATGATCTTAGGCTGATATGTACATATGAGTACATATAATAAGTATAAAAACAGAGATGCTTAAATCAACTCTAGAGGTGATCCTGATTTTGCAATCATTCATACGGACCTAAGGACGAATTGACAGATGCCTTTATCGACTTCGCTATTTATAGTATATGAAATGATTCAATCCTCTGAAAAGGATTTCTGAAAAATTCCTAGAAAACTAATATGTTACTTCTGTACGTTTTATATGTAAATATGTTTTATAGCAAAAGTCCTTAAGCTTACACGATTCCCAGTTTAAGTTTCTGACGACTTCACAGGACATTTTCAATTTGAAAGGTATAAAAATGAAGTTTACTGTCATAATCTTATAAGCGATAAATAAAAATACATGTGAGCTTTATATCCCCGTATTAGCTTTATTATATCTATATACATTTATGCCTTAAAAAGACTTTTTCAGTGCTTTTGAATTAACAAAAAAGAATATAAATTTTAAAAAATCTTTGGAGATAAATAGCTGAGTGAAATAAGTTTTCACCATATGTGAAACCTATAACCGCTGAATTTTGAATCAGATAAGCCAGATTAAAGATTTTGTAAAATCATCTATTTTCTTAAACCTACTCTATATATAACTTAGTTTAGGTAAAAAAGTAAGTATATATAGAGTATGTATATATAAACATATGTAAGTAGCATATAACATAACAAAAACAATAAAGGCAGTTGGCAGTACCTAAAGTTAGCAGTCAACAGTAACCAAAAGAAACGGCAGAAAAGCTGTCTCGGTTGGCCTGTAGACCGTGAAAAGCCACGAGCCACGATTGAAATACCAAATTTCATACCAAAAACATATGAATACCGGATTGTTCATATAGAGTGTAAGCACAATGGATAATTATACAAATACATTTCAGTACATACAGACACATACATACATATGTATGTATACGCTCTAAAAAAATACACTGTTGTCTGTCTTCACACACGTAAATACATGTGTATATATATATTTTAATATAAATGTTATGTGTACATAAAAATATATATATATATACATAATTCAAAAGTGGTATGGAGTGTAACCCAATAAACGCACACAGCTGACTCTGAATAATTTCTATATTTAAACTTTTTTACTTAAGGAAAAAATCAATTTTTTTTTTTTTTAATATTTTGATAGTATTGTTTATTATGAATGTACTGTTAAAGTTTCAAATAAAAATATCAAATAATGACAGAGATACAGCCCATAATCGGGAGCGCGCCTACACCGAAAAGTATGAGTTTCTCGGTAGCGTCTAAACTTTAAACGCGTTTTTCTCGAAACGACATTTTTGTGTGCGGCGCAGGTGATTCACAAAATTCTATGGTACCGATCTAGCTGAAATTTGGATATGTTGTTCTAAAAAGTAACACCTCTGTCCCGTACTAGAATCATTTATTTTTAATGATTAGTTTTTTTTTATCATTAATTTAAGATAAATTTTTTTAATTTTTTTAAATTTTTTGTTTTGTGAGTTCGCCATTTTGTTGTTTATTGATGAAAATATTTCATTCTAGTACGGGACATAGCCATTAGCTTACAAAACAATAATCTATTCTAATTTTTATGTTTCGGATGACTCTAGCAGTCGAAATCACCTGCGCCAGGGACCTATCTTTTTTTTTTATATGCATACTTTGGCATGCTATAAAGTGTATTAAACTACACAAGAATAAATTAAACAAAATATTTTCAAATAGTTTATGATGCTTATAAAAACATATTTGAAAATTGAAACGATCGCATTATTTTTTATTACAAACAAAATTTTTTTAAATAACCTCTAAAAAGTAGGCCGGCACATGAGACTACATCCTTAATTAGGATCGCCATTTAATTTCATATAATCATTTATTATTATTTATTTCTTAGCGATGACTTTCTCCACCATCTAATTTACTAACTTTTGATCTACAAAGTTTTAAATCAAACTTTATTTAAATTAATTTAGGTTTAAAGAACGGTGTGTTTGGGCTGTGCTTGTAATAGGTTAAGCATTCCAATACAATATTTTTATGAGGTATAAGTCTGTCTACCTAGACTATATTTTTGGATAATGTATCGGTCGAAAATATAATAAATTTTGTATTTTAAAATAAAAAGCTTGGGGCATTTTTTGAATTTATATATTTTGTATATTATAATATTATCAAAAATATATATATTTTTTTTATGTATAAGTATATGTATAAGTTATAAGTAATTGGGTTGACTGTAAAATTCTAGTAAGGATATTAACGACATGCGATCTGATCACTTACTGTCACTTACATACATATATAACTGCCAGGGTTCTACTTCTTCTTCCGCTCCTTCCGAAGATAGCTTTCATTTTTCTCCTTATTTTTACGAGTTTTAATAATTTTGATTAATGAATATTTTTTCCGACATTAAAATTATGTACATATTTTGTAGGGTAGGGATTTGGGATCATTGAACCTAGGTCACAAATTTTACTATACATACAGCTAGAAGCGCGCGAATAAGTATAATGAAACGGGTCGGAGGGTAGTTTTTTACCTCAGCCGCTCCGGGTTCTTCTGCCTAACAGGTGTTCCCGATATGTGGCGCTGGCTTCGAGGGCGTTTACGTCGCTTGGAGTAAGAAAAAAGAAAAATATACTCACAACCCGGTGCTACGATATACATATGTACATACAAATAAAATTTTTTTTACACGGAAGGCAACAAGTGATAAAAGACGTATAATTTTATCATTTCAGTCAATATTCAAATATATTTCCTTTCCGCCTTTTCTTGCAGAAAAAATTAAACAACTAAACAGAAATTCGATTAAAACAAATTTTACAAAACTCTAATGTTTCAGATTTTTTTTACGGTAGAAGTTATAAAGTATATTCTTAGACGGTTGAGTGATCTTTCATTTCCCTTCAGTCAACTGTGTTTCACAACCGCGTCGACTTGGCACGCGCCGGTTTCCCTCTTCTATCGGAATCTTTAGCAACTAACTGCTTAAGAAGCCGAGCCTTCCTATTTAGTATGATGTACTGCAAAAAATGGCAAATATTTTTTTAAATTTTGGGTTTTACATGTATTTAAAAAATTCTTTTCCAATTTGTATCCGTGTTCTATACGTTTGGGGCATTTCAATCAATTTCAATAATAGCATTTCAATAATTGCATTACAATAATTGAATACATTTTAAGGACTGAATATAAGGACTGAATAGACATATTTACATACATACTCAAATTTCTGTAATAAATTAAGCATATATAGTAAAATATATGTATGTATATAGTATATACATACATATGCATGTATCCCTCTTTATATTCATTCGAAACTTATTGCTCGTGACCACCTGTAGAATGCTGGGCATATAACGAAATGAAAACAAACCCTATGAATACATATGTCAAAAAGGTGGTTGCTTGTCCGATACATATATATAGTAATATACCTCTCTCTTAACATTAAAAATACGTCACAAAATATATAAAGTGGAACTAAATTGTATGTTAAAAATACCAAAATCATTTGTAAGAGAAAGATGGATGTACATACATATACATATGTAATTGTATATAAAAATATATACATATATTAAAAAAGTAAAATACAAATTTTCTTACTCCTTCAAAAGTTTAAACAATCCACTCCAGCAAGAATTTGGAAAATTAAGCACAGCATAACTTCCAGCCAACACACTTTGTGTCCCCATTAGTCGGCAGTAAGTTTGAGCGAAAACAAAACCGACCAACCGTAAAGCCGTCTTAGACCAACTTTTGAGCGTGGCTCAAAAAACACATAACACACCAGCAACACATACACACAAGAAGTGGACGCTTGAGCCGAGCGGTGTAAATGCCGCTTCCGCCGTCCATTTCCATTCAACAATTTAGTTTCGCTCGAGATCTCTTGAGGTACGGTCCACGATCCACCTGAACTCCCTATTCCGTTAACTTATATGTAACAGGTGGGACCCGGTCTGTTTTTTAAAACCGTTACAGTCCTCAAATAGAGTGGTGATAATGAGTTTGAGATATCGATAATATATCCATATATATCAAAAAAGTGATCTAAAATTTATACAATTTATTGATTGGTGCTTTAAAGATGTTACCAACATAAAATAATTTTTAATATTATAAATTATTTTAATTAAAAATAAACCACAAAGTGAAGTAAGTACAAAATAACTAAAAATTCAACCAGATTTTAATATCATAGCTTGGGTTAATTTTCAATTCAACCCGTTAAACCTAGGCTTACTATTCTACTCAATCTCACGCCTTTGACCTTGAGTTTTTAATTTCTGTAATGAAACCGTCAAAGCTAAGCCGTCTGAGTTTTCGTAGAAGTTTTTTGACTCCAGCATGTGAAAATTTGTTTATTTTTTCCCACTTCTGTTTTATGATTCGATTGTTATGCGAATACTACAGGTCAGTTGGCCTTGAAAAGAATAAAGTTTAAAAAGTAACGACATTGGGGGAATGATCTCTAGCCTCATCTCTAATTGTCTGACCGCGAATTTATACTTGTTGGCTCTTAGCTCTTGAATTTTCAATATTTACATTATTTAAAATGTATTTTTTCGTATAAAAAACAGTTAGACAGATGGCATAGACCAAACGTACAAAGGCGAATGCAACACATGTCGCTATATTGACTCACCCTCAAATAGTTACGTCTGGTTTGATCCTTATGTAGCGACCCCTAAGGAATGATAAAAATTAAGAACAGGTGAATGAGCGCTTACGAGCACCTTCGTTTTAGTGGCGGCTTGCCATCCACCTTGCTGGTAATCGGTACCGCAAGTACCAAACTAAAAGAGCGGGAAATTTATTTTTCCTTGTGACAGTTGTATTGGTAGAACTAGGGAGAGAACCCGTATACCTGCGGTGCACAAAAAAATGTATTATAAATTTTATACGTACAAATTTATTTTAGGCATCCTTTATATAATATAAGGTGTATTATTAATATTATATTTAAAAATAAATAATTTCTAAAAAAGTTTTTATTTTGTTTTATCATTTATAGAGTGCACATAACATTCTCAGAATTCCAACAATTTTGAAGTGTATAATGTATAATTTTAATTTTAAATAAGCCATGTCCGTAGAGCTATCCGAATATACCGAGCGCAAAAGTAATAATTTTTTGTTAAGAATTCTTACCGTTAAAGCTTAAACTTTAAAGGTTAGTTAAATTGTGGCCGAAAGAGAGTACCAGTTATAATATAGTATAGTGGAGAAATTTGACTATAGCCATCCTTTCTTTTTTTTTATGTTCTTTTATATACAATTTTTTTAAATATTAATTCTAAGCTTTAAAAGAATATTACATAAATAAGAAGTTAAAATATGTTAAAGCTAAAGTCTTAATTTGCTTAGGTTTGACACAAAGTCTTTATCAAAGATTTTAATGTAATTCTCGATTTAGTACATTCTCTTATACAATTCTCTCGAAAAGTTTACTTTAATTTCCAAGGGATTGGTAGTATCATTTAGACGTCACGTAAGTCGAGTCAGAAAACTCGACTATAGCCGTCTTATCTTGTTTTCTTTTCAGATATTGTCACTTACGATGGATATGCAGGCATCATCAAATCTTAGCCAAGAAGGGCTCGAAAATATTGAACATCCACTTCAACATCATGTCATCCACCAACCACAGGGTCCTAACAGTACCCATAGCCAAGAACTATCACAGATATCAAATGCGAGCCAGCATTTGCAACACCACCAGCTTTCAAATCAACACATACAGGCTATTTCGCCGACATTGCACAATCTACAGAATTCTTCGACATGTGATAACCTGACCATTCATGTTAGCACACATCATGATCATATTCAGCGTACAAGCATCTACACCTCAACAAATATGAATGAAAAGTCTAAAGGTACGATTATATAATACAAATGTGTTTTCTTTATATTTGTATGATTACTTCGAATTTTCGGGAGAAAAAATTGTTAGAACAGTCTTTATATGCAAACACCTGAAATATAATTGAACAAAGTTGTGGTTTAAAGTTGTGGAATGTTGAAAAGCGAGGGATAGATGTAAACGGAAACTTTAGAACAATAGCCTAAGCTCTTCAAACCTACAAGAGCAATGACCTTTATTCCCGATTTTAAATTTTGCGATCCGTTGCGATCAGTTACCATCGAAGTTTACCTCTCTTCGATACTGGTTCGACATGTAAAAAATAAAAGTTGTTTGATAAGTTATCTGAAAAGCTTTGATTGGAAGGTTATGTAAAAATATCATATTGTTTATTATTATTTTATTATATTTTTATTATTTTTTATGATTTTTTATGTAATGCTTTTTTTTAAGTCAACAAGTTTGACGCATATTCGAACAGAATATTAAACGGTATGGCAGAAGTCCCAACGGCACCGTCAGTAGGCAATGTAATGTCACAAGGCCAAGAATGGATAAATGCTATGAACGATGCGCAAAATGCAGCTGGTACGTTACTTAAGTATTTTCTTTAAATGTTACAAATAAAAATTTAAATTTTAGAAGACTCTCATAGCTCCCAAGGAAGTATTTCGGGTGACGGTAAGTAAAAGTATTTAATTTTTATGTTTGGTAATTGAAATAAAACTGTACATACATTCGTGAGAATGTATTTCCTATTATTAGGAATGGGAATGTATGCAGTTTATTCCAGTTTATTTATTCAGTTCCTTTCTTAACTGTCTTAAATATAAATATTCGTCGGTGGTAAGAAAGAAAGTGACTCCAGATCTTTATTCAAAAAAGTATGTTTTGAATCTTTCTTTCCCGGATATGAGGTAATAAATAGTCGAGAAACTCTACTTCAGACGTCTATTATTGTTTTGTATGTGTGATCGCTTAGTATATACTAATCATTAACGAAACCAGAAAAAAGCACTTACTTCAGTAAAAAGATTCTCTCACAGTCCTTATTTGCTGGTCAGATCAATTTTCTGTGGCTTTGTAAAAAATGTATCAAGTATCTTGGAGCCTAATTGAAAAAATTTACTTTGACCACAAAGCAGTTTATCCGGACTTGCCAGTTTTTTTTATTTATATTATTTGTTTTGGTCAATGGAGACAGTCACTGGAGATACAAGAACTGGTGCCTGGTCGGTTTTTACATTTACATTGTGCTTTCACATGCAACATGACTTTTTTTTTACCACTGCGGTGCACATTTAAACAGTGGAATACGTACTTATATACACAAAAGCACTGCTTCGGAAGACGGATAAATAGATCAAATTATTTAACCACACAATTAAAGGAATGTAAACCATTATTCCATTGCAACATATGTACATTGCAAAATATGCATGTATGTATGACTAGAGTTTATCGAAATAATAGAGGCGGCTATAGTGGATCTTCCCGACTAAGGATACCCGGTATTGTTCTCATCCATCCACACTTTAACTAACCTTAAAAAGTGAAGGGTCAAAAATAAATATTTTGTTGCATACTTTTATATGCTTTGGAAATAACAACTGAATCTTAGATAAAGGAAACAGAATCTAAAGTCCTCTAAAAAGTTTCCGATGTAGCTGAATTTTGTTTTTGAATATTATTTAGTTTTAGAAATAGTTCGGCATTAGGACTTTTTAAACAAAAACAAAATACCTTCATTTACTGGCGGTGGCAGACTTGGAGTTGATGCTGCTCAAGAATATACATACATATGTATATACTTTATGGGGTCGGAGATAATTTCTTCTCTATCTTACATACATTCACACGAATATAATGAACCCTTATACTCTGCTAGTCCCGGACACGGTTATAGTTGCCGAGTTTATTAGTATTTTGGTAAACGCATTAAAGAAGACATCTCCGACCCTATAAGGTAAATATATATAATCTTGATCAGGATCTAAAGCTACCTATTTCAAACTTTTCAAGCAGCCTTCTTTCCTTTGCAGGCAGTTTGCAGGTCAGAATGGTCGGGATCGGGCTACTATATCCTATCGCGGCCCTATTACTGCTTGATCAGTAAATACTTTCTTAAATCTTCCAATATTCATTAGCGTTGTTATATGATTATATTATTATATACATACATAAATATATTATTTTTTTATTTGTATCATTATTATACAACATTTAGAATTTGAATTAAAAATATTTTGTTACATTTTAGACTTAAATAATTTCTGTTAAATTCAAATGTAAAGTTCCGCAATGCTAAAGTTAATCAACATCAGGTTTTCAGTGTGTGAAAGAGATGCCAAAACACTCAGCGCAGTCCATAAGTAGCAGGCAAAGAGGTTTAACGTGATTGGTTCCAATTCAGACTGCCTAGCCTGCTTTGTGGCTATTGGTGGATTGAAAAATCACACGCCCTTCCAAAGTAAAATCTTTTTATGGTTATTCTAATTATAACTAGGACAAAAAAACATGCAGAAAAATGAATTTCCGATTTTAAAATTAGATTAGAAATTATAAGCTAGAAGAAATTCAGATAAGATTCTAAAGATTCTTTGATTTTTAAAGTTGAAGACTGAAGAACACCCCTCCCTCAAATTGGGATTGGCCACCAGAAACGCACCCTCCAAGCATTTTAAGCTGCTGCGATGCAACATCGGTGGATTTCAGGGCTTTTCATCATTGGCTGTTTTTTCAGTAAGATGATAACCAGCCGTTTCAATATGTCGGAACATTATGGGCGGCGCGGTGACGATGTGTGTAAAAGAGACAAAGCATATTCAAGGACATTTGAACGCCCGCGCCCTTCTACATCGCGCAAAGATAGAGATAAATAGAATAGTAAAGGTAGATAAGAATAAGGAAACCATGCGCAGAATCTCTGCGGATTACAGTGAAGAGCCCGAAAAAATTTTTACCCAATATTTTATGGCGCACAAAAAACGAAAGAGAAAATAATTTTTTTAATAATAAAAGAAAAAATAGTGACAACTTTGAACAGAAACACAAGCAACGGAGCAAGAGTGGCGCAAGTTCCCGGTCCTTGCTTAATATATGCAAAGAAGCAGAGTCCCAAAAATTAAACTTTGGCTGCAGCATCTGAAAGCAAGCTTCTTCTCTAGAGAGGCAACCAGAAAATTGCTGCACCTATAATACTTCTTGGTGTACTATCATCGATTAAAGGTTCGGTTTACCGTTACGGTTGCGGTTGCGGTGCGATACGTATGTCACGCATTCATTTACGGCTTACACCATAAACGGATATTTAAGTTAACTCTTAGTCATGTTCCAATAACATGGTGTGAATATGTTCCATATGTGAATAAAAAAGAGTGGTAGTGCTTATTCCGATTATTGTTGGAACTAGTGAATATAAGTGCTGTCTATCAATATTAAGTGAATTAAAATGGACTTATCTACAGCCTACCGCTACAATCAGAATATGATGGAATATTATACATGTAATATTTGTTTTGATGCTTTTTATACAACATGTAGTTTTTTATCAATTAAATACATACATATGTAGATATAGGGTTGGGGGTGTGAATAAATTAAAAATAGAGAAGTAATCCTCTCACTATTTATTATTAGGAATCATCGAAGCAGAAGGATTTCTTACTATTTATTATTAACAATAATCTGTTATTCTAGATTAGTACAATTAAAATTAAGGTAAATTAAACTAATAGAGATTCTAAAATATACAATTAAATCTAATAAAAACCGGAAAGGAAAGCTTTCTTCGGGCGGTGCCGAAGTTGGTATACCCTTGCAGTTAAAGCCGAATATACATATATCGCAAACATCGTATATATGTGGTCGATCTTTATGAGAATATCATAATATAACCAATTTATTCCATTGAAAAATCGTCAAAAATACCAAAGTTGGTATTTTTACCAAATACCATTTCCGATCGTTCAGTTATAATCAGTCATTAATATAGCAGCTAGGGATATGGTCGTGCAAAAGAAAGAAGGGTGTGTGCAAAGTTTCAAAGAAATACAGACATGCTCTTATCAACTCAGGAGGTTATCCTGATCAAGAATATATATACTTTATAAGGTCGGAGATGTCTCCTTCACTGCGTTGCAAACTTTTGACCAAAATTATAACACCCTCTGCAAGGTTATAAAAATATTAAATAAGAAGAGGTCCCAAGGGACTACCTTTTGGGACACCAGATGTTACTTTTTAACTGTACAACTGTATCATTTTTGTAGAAAATCCCATAAGATACAGCTTATATAGAAGGAGACGATGATTTATGAAATCGAATTCTTTGCTGAATAGTAAATAGTGGAATAGTGAAATATCAGTTTTGCCACCGAGAAACTCATTATGTAATGAAGGTTGAAATCGCCCATACTTAGGATTAAGTCACAGTCTATTCATAATTACCAGCAATGGGGACACCACTTGCGAAAGATGGACGATCCAATAGAAACACAATAAAATTGGGAAAAATAATTTCATAATCATAGAAAAGAAAGTATGCCAAGTTTCAGTAAGAGCGATCACATTAAAATCAAAAGAGGCACTCTTTGTAAAAACCTGACAGGAGCAGCACGTAGGTTGTCCAACGATAGACGTTCTAAGATGATATTTTAGATTTTTATGCAAGGGATCAATATTAGTCTGACCCTCCCGGTAGGCTTAACATATTCCTTGGTACTGGAACGAAATCAGTATCGATGATACGAAATGTATTGACTTGTACCACATAGGAGGTATGGGTACCCAATAAATTTACAGAAAGCAGGTTATTTTTTGGAATTTTTCTTCTTGTAGATTGGCCTAACAACCAATCTGGCACATTAAGGGCCGAGAATTGCTTCCGAACATCTAGAAGACCATTTCTTGTCTGCTTCATAAAAGTCCGCATCTCAAACTCAATGCAATTGTACAAGACCATGTCAAGTCAATATTCTTATTGATAAGATCGCTTATCCGTTCATTGTTCTCACCTCCATCATATTTATGTGAGCATCATATGTGAGCAGCTGTTGCAAAGCCAGCCAGGTACGAGACAGGTGATGGAAGTCTCATATTTTGGCTGTGCAAACTAGAATCATTGTTGACGGATTTCTGACCACTGTAATAGAAATTACATAGGCTGTCTGTAGCCGATAGTAGTCAATCTGATGTAAGAAAAAACGGTAGAAAACTGATAGGTAACGAAGGGTAGGCTTCGTGAAGAATAACAAGCTAAAAAAGTTCAACAACTGAATAGTTCAATGAACTTTTTAAGTCAAATATATTTTGAGAATCAATCATTATATTTAAACTTTTCGCGAAAAGTGGAAACTTTAATTCACACAAAGAAACATGTCCGGATACGGCAAAGTGCAGCAAGCAATCTGTCCGACCCCATAATGTAAATCAGTGGTAGGCACCCCAATACATTGATATGATTTTAACGCATTAGTATTAGTAAAAAATAGGAGAAAGTAGGCTTTGACCATGACGTTGTACACATTTGTACTGTGTGTGTGTGCGGCAGATCTCGGCAGAGAAATTTCCTTTGCCCTCGGGATAGGGCCGTGCCGACCACTGATGTAAATTAAGTAATGATCAGGGTCCAGGATGTGCCTGCTATATCCCATATTTGCGACGTAAGTCCGTTTTTAACAGCAAGTGTATATTTACTTCGGCTGCGAAGTTAATCTTCCTTTCGTGATATTGTAGGTAATTTGCTGTAACAACATCTTGAAAAAACGAAAAACCGCATGATCTGAAATGATCTGAAACAAGAAAGCAAACATTACTTCGGGAGGAGGCGAAGTTGATATACCCTAGCAGTTAAGATCGGATATATATCTGAAATAGCTGATATTATTAGCCAATCCTAATGACAATTTTTTTTAAGACCAATTCCATATAATAATAATTTTAAAAAAGTTCGAATCTTCTACATTAAAAACACCAAAATCGGTTCATTTCCGAGTATTCAGATCCTTATAAAATGGTAGATCGGATCCAATATTACAATATACAATTCAAATAAACTCCTTTTCTCCTAATTTAACAAGCATTTAAAACTTAAAGCATTATTGAACAATAAGATACATGGCAGCAACAGGATATATGTTGTCGACAGACCCCAAGTGTGAGTCGATAGCTTTAAAAATGAGAGACTAGTTTGCGTAAAAAGGGACAGACATGCTTATTTCTACTCAGTCGGAGATATGTCTCTGAAAAGGTATAAAAAAGATGTATTTTCTGGCAGCATGTTCATCATTATATTTGTCTTAATTGCTCAGATATGTTGCTTACATGAAATATGTCTCTTAAGAAAATTTGTGTGGCACTAGTAAGATATATAAATACTAATATGTGTATGCATCAGTATCAACATAGTATAGCCTTGCAGACCTTTCCTTAGTTTCACAAGCATTAAAAAAGGACGGAAATATGGGATCTCAACGACTGCATATTAGGTAAATGAACTTCATCTGGCTATACTTGATTTTAAAAGTGGTTAAAGTTCAGCGCATAAAGTAAATTTGAAGCTATTGCCATATTTTTTGTGTTTTGTATCAAGCAATGGAGCAAACAGGCTGATAGGAAGATAGACAGACATGCTTACATCGACTCTGGAGGCGATACTGCTCAAAAATATGTGTATATATGTGTATTTCAATGGGTCGTATACCTCTTCTTTACGGGATGCACACTTTTTACGTGAAACAAAATATGCCACGTTCATGACATTTTAATTTAACGGGTCCTCGTGGATTAGAAGCGTATATTTTATTTGTGTAAATGTATGTAACCTTATTATAGATTATTATTCAGCTTCCCCCTGGATTATTTCAGTTTTTAAACTGCTACAGAGAGTACTATAATTTTGGTGAAAAATGTGCAACGCAGTTAAGTTTGATATGAGTTGATATGAGCATGCTGTTTCAACACGAACTAGTTTCTGAGTTTTAAAGCGATCGACTTGAAACTTTCTGCCTACTTTATAATTGAATGATCCGACATGACTCAACTTTGGTATTTTTAATAATAGAAGCTTTGGATTTGTTTTTAAAACAATTTTAATTTTAATTTTATAATAAATAATATTAATAATAGTTTGCAACGCAGTGAAAAGTGTGCAACTCCATGAAGGAGATATCTTCGTTCCTATAAGATATATATATTCTTCATAAATTTCAAATAATGATCGGCCGAATATATCCTGTAGCTGCCATATAACTTAACGATCGGAAATGGTTTTTGGTAAAAATACCTACTTTGGTGTTTTTGAAGATAGAAGCTTGGGACTTTTTTTTACAAATTTTATTGTAATTAATTTGTTGTATTATGATATTCTCATAAGGATCGGTTAACTATATCCGCTGTTTGCGATATATCTGCAAGGTTTTAACTGCAAGGGTATATCAACTTCGGCTCCGCCCGAAGTTAGCTTTCCTTTCTAGTTATTAGTGGGATTAAAAATATATAAAAAAATATTGATATTATATATTATGATTAAATGTTTCTTTATAAAAATTGAATATATTTGTTTGCACAGGTCATGGTGGAGTTAATCAGCTGGGAGGAGTTTTTGTTAACGGGCGCCCCTTACCTGATGTTGTTCGACAGCGTATTGTAGAACTAGCTCATAATGGCGTCCGACCGTGTGATATATCACGGCAATTGCGTGTGAGTCACGGCTGTGTATCCAAAATTTTATCAAGGTAATTATGATGGTAAAATAAATGAACGCTGTATGCTATGAAATTATTAATAATCCTTGTATTGGTCATGGTATGTTTTAAAAACGTTATATTTTATTTATATTTATAAATTTTAAGTATATACAATATGCTTTAATTTTTTTTAACATATTATTACATTTTTTTTTTTATATTTCACGCGGCTGCCTCTGCTTAATGTCCAGTAAAGAAAAAAACATGAAAAAAATTGGGACTTTCGATTTAATATAATGTCAATGTACGTCATTTTAGAAAAACGAGGGTAACGTTTCTAGAAAGCCTTAAAGTCATTTGTCATTTTAAAGTCATAATTGGCATCGAAAAGGAATATTGTCATAAGAAAGAAAAGTCGGGTTTTCCAACTGTATGATACTCGGTACTCACATCTTCCACTAACAATGTAAAACTCCAACACACCTTTAAAAGTATACAGTATAAACACTAACAAGAAAGGAAAGTTAAATTCGAGCGCTGCCAAAGTTGTTATACCCTTGCAGTTAAAACCGGATTTATATCGCAAACATCGGATACAGTTGGCAATACAAAAGCTAAAAAAAAGTCCAAAGCTTTAAAAAGCCACAGCTATCTTCAAAAATACTAAAGTTGGTAGTTTAACCAAATACCATTTATGATGGTTCAGTTATATGACAGCTATAAGATATAGTCGGCTGATCGTTGTGAAATTTGGTAGGTGAGATCAACTGAAAATATAATACGAAGTTCCAAGTCGAAAGCTTTAAAACTGAGAGACTAGTTTGTGTAGAAACAGACAGACATGCTCATATAAACCCGGGAGGTTATCCTGATCAAGAATATTTATACTTTATAAGGTCTGAGATGTCTCCTTCACCGCGTTGCACACTTTTGAACAAAGTTCTAATACCCTTTGCAATAGAGCTGGAAAAAAATCGATTCTCAGTGCATCGATTATATTCGATGTTTAAAAACGAAACATCGATTAAATCGAATAAAAAATGTTTTTTAATATGTTTTGATACCAATCAATCTTATTTATTTAGCAAAACAAAACAAAAACACTTTTCTATGAAATCAAAAATACAAGTTTCAACAAATAGAAATGAAATATACATATCATAACATAAAAAAAAAAATAAATTTCTATAATCCATAGGTTCTTACTGGGAAAAATAAGCTTGTTTACTGTTTTAGGTTTGAGAACAGGGCGTCTATCGGAAACTATGGATTCGACCCTAACGAACACACGCTCCAATTCGTTGATCCACCAATATACAAAAATCATAAAAAACAAGAAAGGAAAGCTAACTTCGGGCGGAGCCGAAGTTGATATACCCTTGCAGTTAAAACCGGATATGTACCGCAAAAATCGAATATAGTTGGCCGATTCTCATGAGAATATCATAATAAAACCAATTGAATATAATAAAACATCTACAAAAAATCCCAAGCTTCTACCTTCAAAAATACGAAAGTTGGTATTTTTACCATATACCATTTGCGATAGTTCAGTTATATGGCAGGTATAGGATATAGTCGACCGAGCCTTTAGAAATTTGATAGGTTGGATCAATTGACCAAAAATAGAATCTGTACTAAGTTCCAGCTTTCTATCTTCAAAAACACAAAAGTTGGGTCACTTCCGATCGTTCAGTTATATGACAGCTATAGGATATAGTCGGCCGATCCTTATGAAATTTGACATGCCGTATTATTTTACGGTCGAAAATAGCTCTCGGGTCAAATTTGAACTCTCTAACTTTAAAAACACCAAAGTTATACCATTTCCGATCAATCAGTTATATGGCAGCTATAGGATATAGTCGGCCGATCCCGGCCGTTCCGACTTATATACTGCGTGCAAAGGAAAGAAGGGTGTGTGCAAATTTTCAAGTCGTTTCTACTAGTTTGCGTAGAAACAGACAGACAGCTCATATCAACTTAGGAGGTGATCCTGATCAAGAATATATATACTTTATAGGGTCGGAGATATCTCCTTCACTGTGTTGCACACTTTTGGACAAAATTATAATACCCTCTGCAAGGGTGACATAAAGGTAATCATTTTTCTCATAGTGAAAAATAAAAATTATGTTTATTCGTGATTTTTTTTTCATAGTTGGACTTTTGTCGCTCAAAACATTTGATGTACTAATTGCGCTACTCGAAGTTGTAGCAGATTAAAAGTAGAAAGCAAAGCTAACTTTGCACACACCCTTCTTTCCTTTGAACGCAGTATATAAGTCGGAACGACCGTGATCGGCCGACTATATCCTATAGGTGCCATATAACTGAACGATCGGAAATGACCCAACTTTCGTGTTTTTGAAGATAGAAAGCTGGAACTTGGTACAGATTCTATTTTTGTCAGTTGATCCAACCTACCAAATTTCATAAGGATCGGTCGACTATATCTTATACCTGCCATATAACTGAACGATCGGAAATGGTTTTTGGTAGAAATACCAACTTTGGTATGTTTGATGATAAAAAGTTTGGGACTTTTTTTAGATTTTGTATTATAATAAATTGGGTTATAGTATCATATTCTCATAAGGATCGGCCTACTATATCCGATGTTTGCTATATATATCCGGTTTTTACAGCATATAAAATTCGGCTCCGCCCGAAGTTAGCTTTCCTTTCTTGTTTTTTTGTTATCATAACAATATTCATTATGTTTAGACCTGATTCTCCAAGTGTGCCGGCGTGATCGATTTTTGGGAAACTTGCAAATGATCAACGTGTTTTCAAGCTCTTATTATATGCAATGTCTATCAAAAAGGAAACTGAACTAGGTTATAATGTTACCAGTTATGAATTGTACTTTTTTACGTGAAAATGTTTTTTTTAGTTTTGATAGTTTTGTGTTTCAAAGGTGTGTGAAACGCGAGTTTTTGGTTAATAATTTAAGTGTAAGCACTTATGATCAAACTTTCCAGATGTACATATAGAAGTGTAAGAAGCAAGAGACTACAAATAATGATTATAAGTTTGAAAAAAATAAAAAATATCTTTTATTATAAATGTTTATTACAAAAAATAAAAAATTATTCGACAATTAAAATATTTTTTTAGTTTAAAAATTCTAAATATATTATGTTGAATCTACTTTTAGATATTATGAGACTGGTAGTTTTAAGGCTGGGGTAATTGGTGGATCCAAGCCAAAAGTAGCCACTCCCCCAGTGGTTGATGCTATTGCCAACTATAAACGGGAAAACCCTACCATGTTTGCGTGGGAGATACGTGATCGGCTTTTGGCGGAAGCTATATGCACCCAGGATAATGTCCCCAGTGTTTCTTCTATAAACCGGTAAGATAAGAGCTATTGAAAGTAGTTAACGGATGCTTATGTATCCTGAATCCCTATTTCTGAACTTATTTGCTGTCATGCTGCTAGCTTCCGTGTTCACTTTATGTATACCTCAAACGGACATCGTCTTGACTGCGAATATAATTCAAACCTTTCAGCTAATAAAAATATCTAAGTAGTTTTTAGCGTTTATAATTGTGGCACTGTGCTTGACACGCGACCACAACAAAAGCCACTTTTCTCTCAGTCATCCGGTGTGGCTTTATGACCGACAACATCATCACAGTCTCTGGCCCATGGCACGTGCCTGTTATGTCGTCAACACATGGCTGTTATTTGCGCACTTCCTTTCTAACCGTAATTTATTTTAGAAGCCCGAATTTTTACACCCTTGCAAAACGAGTTATAACTGAGACCAGAATTGTTTAACGCCGTCAAAAATATATATATATGTATGTATGTAATCGAATAGGATCGTTTGGCTTATGAAAAAAATTAAACGAGATGTGAAGTAAACGTTATGGTTGTGTAATTATTATTTTGTCCAGTAGTGTATTGATTAAGGATTGACAACTATCAATAAAGTCCGCTTTGCAATTTCAGTCTTTCGCTACTCGGAAGTCTCAAACTAAGTTGACAAGTTGTATTAATTATCCTGTGCTTTATCCGACAGGGCACATGGTGGCGATCCCCATGCACTTGTGTACGCGTAACAGAATTAATATATCCGAATAATTTCAACTTTTCTGTGTAGTACGTTCGATCTAAATGAATATATTGAAAAATTTTGAAACTGCGTTAATTTGAACTTTTTATACCCTTGCAGAGGGTATTATAATTTTGTCCATAAGAGGGCAACGCAGAGAAAGAGAAATCTCCGACTAGTCTCTCAGTTTTAAAGCTATCGACTTGAAACTTCGCACCCTTCTTTCCTTCGCTCTACTTCGATCGCTCTACTGTATCCTATAGCTGCCAAAAAACTGATTGATCGGAAATGGTATAACTTTGGTGTTTTACGAGTTAGAGAGTTCAAATTTGACCCGAGAACTATTTTTGACCGTAAAATAATACGGCATGTCAAATTTCATAAGGATCGGCCGACTATATCCTATAGCTGTCATATAGACTATATCTTATAGCTGCCATATAACTGAACGATCGAAAATGACCCAACTTTCGTGTTTTTGAAGATAGAAAGCTGAAACTTCATGCAGATTCTATTTTTGGTCAGATAATCCTATGCTATTATCATATTCTCATAAGGATCGGCCAACTATATATATATATATGGTATATATATATATATATATATATATATATAAGGATCGGCCAGCTGTTTTCTATATATATCCGGTTTTAACTGCAAGGGTATATCAACATCGGCTCCGCCCGAAGTTAGCTTTCCTTTCTTGCTTATTTTTTAATTTGCCAAAAGTCAACTGATTTTTATTTCATTGTGGCTAGAGGTGACAATGGAGTCTCCAAAATTATGACTCTCCAAACGGAAAAAAAATTGTATCTAATAACATTAGAATTTTGAATACGTCGATTGACCCATTATCCAATTCCGAAATTTTTCCTTAAACTTATTCAGGAAAAAAGGTGTTCTCTTCTTCTTTCCAAATAAAATCTATTTTTCAAAACAATCTAAGCTAACGTTAAACAAGAAAGAACGGATATAGTCGAGTTTCCCGCCCATATTATACCTGGTACTCATCTTTTCCATCCACAATTTAAATAACCTTTAATGTTTAAGCTTTAATGGTATGGATTCTCTGCAACAAATTTGTGTAGCGTACTTTTGCGCTTCGGCAAAATAACAACAACAAACCTACCGTTTCAGAAGGGAAGCAGACTAAAAAGTCTATAACTACTATAAAAATGATCTGATTTAGCAGATTTTTTGAACAGTTTGGCATCAAAACAATTTCCAAAAACATGGTCGAACTGGCACTAACACCAGATTTCTGTTTTGGTGGCCTGGAAAAGCTTTACACAAACTTGATTTACGCGGATACGAGTCCAAGTCCAGACGCGAAATTTTCGAGATCCTGACGCTCATAATTTTAGATAGTGGTTTTGGGCCCCGCCGCTTTATAAACAAATTTTCTATCTAATCCGATCTTTGCTTTTGTTGGACAGGAGTTTTATACCCGGTGGTTATGCACAGCGTTGTCCTGATTTGTACCACCACTAAAGCTTTGAGGCTGAAATCATAGTCAACTTTCGTGAGTTGCCGAATTCATGAAATGGCGTTTATGCCAAGGATAAATTAAGTTAATGGACATTTCAAAATTTGAGGGATAATTCAGGTGATAATAAATGGGAAAATAGGTTGTCATTTTTATACCCTTGCAGAGGGTATTATAATTTTGTCCAAAAGTGTGCAACGCAGTGAAGGAGACATCTCCGACCCTATAAAGTATATATATTCTTGATCAGGATCACCTCCTGAGTTGATATGAGCATGTCCGTCTGTCTGTCTGTCTGTTTCTACGCAAACTAGTCTCTCAGTTTTAAAGCTATCGACTTAAAACTTTGCACACACCCTTCTTTCCTTTGCACGCAGTATATAAGTCGGAACGGGATCGGCCGACTATATCCTATAGCTGCCATATAACTGATTGATCGGAAATGGTATAACTTTGGCGTTTTAAGAGTTAGAGAGTTCAAATTTAACAAATTTAACACAGCTATTTTTGGCAACACATTACGACATGCCAAATTTCATAAGGATCGGCCGACTATATCTTATAGCTGCCATATAACTGAACGATCGGAAATGGTATTTGGTAGAAATATCAACTTTCGTATTTTTGAAGATAGAAGCTTGGGCCTTTTTTTAGATTTTTTATTGTAAATAATTGGTTTTATTATGATGTAATCATAAGAATCGGCCAACTATATCCGATGTTGGCGATATATATCCGGTTTTAGCTGCAAGGGTATATAAACTTCGGCTCCGCCCGAAGTTAGCTTTCCTTTCTTGTTATACCCTTGCATATCAACTCAGGAGGTGATCCTGATCAAGAATATATATACTCTATAGGGTCGGAGATGTCTCCTTATGGACAAAATTATAATACCCTCTGCAAGGGTATAAAAATTAAGAGTCATTTTTAAAATCATATAACTTTTACTTACAATAAAAAAAAAAAATAACACAGTGCGACAAAAAAAGAAAAGTTGGAGGAACTTTTGAAGAGACCTAGTACGAATTGTTCATTAGGTCGAGTATAGTATAAAACCATGTTTGAAATTTTTCCTACACCCTCAAATCTTGATTTATTTCGAAAAAACGGTTTTTCGAAAGTGTTTTGCTCTTAAAAATTCCTGAACGCGCAATTTTAGGCCGATTTTCGATTTTTTTATGTTTTTCAATAGTTAAATGTTGTAGCTTTTGAAAAAAAATACATCTGCAATTTATTTAAACAGAAAGGATACAAATTTTACAAAAGAAACAGACTTTTTTGAATTTTTGTCACGTTTTTCAAACTTTGACGCCATTTTTTCGGTACAACTTCCAAGAAATGGTAAAAAAACCGTTTTTTCGAAATAAATCAAGATTTGAGGGTGTAGGAAAAATTTCAGACATGGTTTTATACTATACTCGACCTAATGAACAATTCCTACTAGGTCTCTTCAAAAGTTCTAAATCACTGTCGCACTGTGTAATCTGATCAATATTTTGGCATGAATAGTAATACGTTGGATTTTTATTATACATATGTTGTGTGTAATCAAATGTTTTAAGGTGTTGTGGAGTGTTCGTAGTTACAGGTTACAACAAAAATCAGTCAAAATTTGTATAGGAAACTCGTTTTTAAAATTATGTGAGTCCACCCTAGGTCCAATCTTGAAACTTGAAAAGCTTAAAAAAAATCAGGATTGTTGTAAAAGTAATCAATGTTTAATCAATGTAAAATTCAGTAATGACTCAAGCATCAAAGGAGATAGCAATTATTAAGTTCTGAGTAAGAGTTCTGGCACAATTTCTGAGTTCAAAAGTATCCTATGCTTAGCGGAAAAATGGAAGAATTTTAGATAGAATGCAAAGCTGCTTTAAAGAAGAATTGGCTTTGTTCCCAAATTTGTATATAGATGTATATAGATAGAAAAACTTGTATATACAGAAGTAAAATACCAGCGACAAGCCCGCAAGTTGAAAACATTGATTTTATGCCGTGCCTCCTACCGCTCCCTGAAAACCAATTTCATCCAAATCGGCCGATTTTTAAAGGAGGCATTCCTATATACATATCTGTATATACCATTTTCCATACAAACAGATTCAAGTTTTGAACGTGTTGATCTCAAAGACTATAAGAGATAGAGCAATCCGACTTGGAACTTGGACTCGTATGGTATTGGCGAAGATCAAGTTTCCACTTCCACTCCCAACAAAACAGAATTTTGGTTTTAGCGTCCGGTAATTAATTTTTTTGGAAAACGTTCTGCAAATCGCCCTACTGCTTCCCTACTGAATCGGTAGAATGGCTGTAGGCGCCATTGAATCTTAGAAAGTTCAAATGTTCTTAATTCAAAAACACAAATTTTGGGTCATTTCCGATCTTCCAGTTATATGTATGGCAGCTATAAGATATAGTCGGCAGAGAGTTATGCAATTCAGTTGAATTATTTTGCATGCAAAGGTATAAAAATAGAAAAAAAATACTTATTTAATTTTTTGTACAATAAGTGTTACAAGACTATCTTTTACAAAAAAAAAAAAAACTAATTATGCTATATTTTGGATTTTCTTAAGAACAAATAAAATAACACATTGTGGTGGCCTAATGCACTGTTGAACTACATCTAGTTCCTTCTAATGAGTTTAAGTAGAATTGACGGCTTTTATTCTTAGGGGTTGAAAAGCAGGAGTCAGTGCTTCCAAAATCATAGCACAAGCAGCAGACACAGATTTTTTAGGCAGGATGGGCAATTTGATATTTGGGCAGTGCACACAATTGAGACATATGTTTAGGATTCCTAATCCAATG